TCCGCAAACGCAGATCAGTATCATCTGGAATGACAACACGTGGTGTGTCACCAGAAACGGCTGTATAATACAGTAACCCGTTGCGAGTAGTGTATCGATCTGATGCAGATCGATACGCAGACGACAATCGTTTCAACGATTCTCGAGATGGCTGTGAGAGATGTGTCAACAACTTCACAATCTCACCATCTTGGGCGTATGCCCGCCTCACATCATCATACAACGTTGTAGATGGGACTGAGGACGTCATAACCGCAACAGTGACTGTCTCACTGTTGGGTTTCACGACTGGTTCAAAGTCGGGACGACGTGAGAGTGCATCAGCGACGACATTAAGTCGTCCTGGTTTGTACTCGACCGTAAAGTTGTATTCTGCAAAGAATGACAACCACCGCGCCATTCATTGTGAAAGGTGCGGGCTGTTCACTGCCGTGCGTAATGACGCATGGTCAGTGTAAACAATGAAGGGTCTATCTCCTAATAGATAGACGCTGAACTTCGCGAGTGCATACTTCATGGCAAGGAGTTCCTTGTCATGCACTGGATAGTTCCGCTCAGCTGGTTGCAGCTGACGCGACTGATAGCAGACGACGCGTTCAACGCCTTTAAGATCGTACTGCATCAATGCACAGCCGATTGCGAAATTGCTGGCATCACAGACCACATGAAATGGCCTGGCCTGATCGGCTATTGCTAGGACTGGGGATTGTATCAAGCTCTGCTTGATACCATCAAAGGAGCGCTGACATTCAGCGTTCCATAACCACCTCTCGTTTATTTTTCAACAAACAAGAGAGGTGCACAGTCATCTCGGCGTAATTGCGTGAATACTTGTGCAAATACGCCGCTAGCCCAAGGAATTTTCGAAGACCTTTGACATCAACCGGCACAGGCCAGTCGGTGATCGCCTTGATCTTTTCGGGATCAGGACGTACACCGTTCTTGCCAACGATGCACCCAAGAAGTGGTATTTCGCTTGCTGCAAATATACAATTCTTGAGGTTTGCATACAATTGATGCTTTCGCATGATTGTAAGAACCTGTCGGACGTGGTACCTGTGAACCTCAACGTCCGACTTTCCATCCATAGCTCGACTATGGATGAATACGTCATCGAAATAACTCGGCGCTAATTCTCGTACTGGTCTCAACAGATGTGTATCACATCTGTTGAACGTGGCATGGGCATTACTAAGCCCTTGTGGCATTACTAGTCATTCCCAGAGCATGCCGCTAGGCGTGCTAACTGCGGTATAGGGTATATCCCGTTCTCGCATAAGGATTTGATAGAAGCCATCCATCAAATCCATGGACGAAAAGATGGTACTCTTTGACATACCAACTATGATTACGTCCTTCCTCGGTATCGGCGTCTGAGCCGGTACCGTTGCAGCGTTCAATCTTGTTAAATGAATGCACTATCCGCCACCCTCCTGTTGCTTTTCGCACACAGAAGTTCGGAGAGCTATGTGGGGAAGTTGATTCCCTCACATGGCCCGCAGCTAAACGATCGGCAAAGAACTTGTCGATCGCAAGTACTTGTTCACGGGGCAGTGGCCACTGCTTCATGACACAGTACTTCGAGCCTTGTTTAAGCTCGACCTCGTGTCGAATACCTTTATCCTTAGGTAATTCTCACGGAACAGTTTCAGGGAATACATCCTTGAAATTCAACCAAATCTTCATAGAGAGGATTTGTCTTGAGCGATTCCCACGATTGGGAGTCATATCGCTCAATTCGTGTCTTTTCATCTAGGACACTCTCGTCCATAGATGAACTACTGAGAACTCTCTCGTTCTCAGTGAACACTGTTGCTGACCTTATGTCGGTTACACACTCGTCGTCAGCGACGAGTACGCAGATCTGCTTGACTTTGCCACTACGCAGATCACGCAAGAACCTTTTATGTTCGAGCGTTGGCAACTGAGTGATCTCCGAAGTCAACTTCGGAGGCGCAATCAGATCAAGTGTACAAGCGCCTACACTTGATCCATCATTGACTATGACATTCAATGTCTCTGTCATTTCCTGGGGACTTATTCCCTCAGGCCTCGAAGGACTTATTCCTTCGGCTTCCCGGGGACTTATTCCCGCGGGTTTCGGGGAACTTATTTCCGCCGTATTTGTAATCTTGGGACTTATTCCCTTTACTTCCTCTAGCTGGCGTTGCGCAACCACAGCGAGATCCTCTACGAAAGACTCTCCAGTCGATCTAGGATTATCGTTTCGCTTAACCTGAGCGATCGATTGTTTCTCTTCTAGATGTTCCCCGCTAGGGATACATCTTTGTCCCAGTCCACCCGAATTATTCGAGTGGTGGACCTTCGGCGCAGCCTGTGTTTCCTCACAGCCGCCGTAACTTTGCTCCGAAGTGTAACCGTTTGGTACACTAAGGTTTTGTGCAGTCGTACTAACGACCGTACCACAAGTGAGGCCATCGCACTCACTCGTAGTACATCCACACGCTTGTGGACGCTCCAAAACGTTCATCAGATGGCCATCTATGGAATAAGCGGCAGGCATCGTTACTGTTCGATGTTGCAAGTTTACCCGTGGTTGTACCTTCTGAGCCACGGTATTCCAAGGATGACATCGTATTTGTCATCCAAATCCAATACGACAAAGTCATCGTCATATTGGGTATCTTCTAGCGTATAGTGGATCTTCACTATACGCTTCATGACGGTTACGGATGCGCCTGTCGCAAGACGTGCCGTCATCCTCGTAGGAGGTGTGTCACATTCGCTGAATTTAAAGTGACCATCTTCTAGCGACTGTCGTCGCACAAAATTGTTGGACGCCCCACAATCGACTAGAGCTCGAAGGGACAACTTATTCGTCACTTCGAGTTTCGAGGTAATGAGTGAGATCTCATTAACTGGAGCAGCAACGCACAACGTTTGTGTGTTGGGAGCAACCTTCATCAAGAGGCCTACAAATTCTCTTGACGTTGCTGGACCAGTAGGGTGCTCCGCACCTACTGATACTGTCCGTTTTTTACATTCCATCCCGTTGTTTCGTCTCTGCACCAACAGCGGACCCGCGTCCCTGCCCCTTTCTCATGGGTGGACGGTCACTACGCCCAGTGTTGCGAGACACTGGACGAGGGGCACTACACTCGTAAGCGTAGTGTCCTGTCTTTTGACATCTGTTGCATCTCTGCAACTTCTTGTAGTCTGTAGAGCTAGCCCTCTCGCTCTCTACATAACAGAGTTCCATCGGCTCTGGACCTCCGCTGTCATATCGTCTCGGTTGACGATATGATGTCGAGCTGGCGCGAGACTGTCTCAGACTGAAGTCTTCCTGTTCCGCAATGGAAATGGCTTGTTCTAGTAAATCTATTTCAAGCCGGAACAGGTGAGTCTTGACGGGATTATCCGCAAGACCCTGCATGAACACCGAAACCAAAGTTTGTTCATCAACCGGGTTGGAACTTATACAACTCGTGAGATGTCGTATATGTTGCGCGTAAGCGTGCACATCACTCTTACCCTGTTTGAGCTTCAAATGTTCGGTTCGAGCTCTGAACTCAGCTCTAGGCGGTTCAAACGTTTGTCTGAGCCGCGACTTGAAGACTTCCAACGACCCAAACGCATATGGGTCGTGCAACTTGAGCCCCAGTGCCCAAGTCTTTGCACGTCCTGCCATATTTGACTGGGCAAATGCAACTTGCATATCCCCGTCGTCGATGCGACGCGCCCTTATGGAATCATCCAATTCGACGAACCATCTCAAGAGGGAGTCCTCTTCGACTCCCCTATACTTAAAGATGTCAATCTTCAAGGTTTCGGGTCGACGCGAGTGCATCGACCCGCCAGCAGCAGCCTGCTGCTGTCTTAACAGTTCAAACTATTGAACACCCTGTTCTCTCAACAACTCTGCTTGTTGAGAACCTTGTTGGTGAAGCAAGGCTACTTTCTCTCGTTCTGCGTCAAGTTCATTTTGAATGAACTTGGCGATAGTAGCATGTTGGGCATCTCTATTGAGAGCCTCTAGCATGACGCTAACAGCATGGATGCCCATGGTTGAACCCATTCGTTCAACCGCATCCCATTCGACATCGCTCAAATGGGAGTAGCCGTCACGCGTAGCGTGAAAGCTTTGGTCATCTTCATCATCCAACATATTCATGTTGGATGTGAACGCGGTCCTTGGACGGACTACGAAGTGCTACCAGGTGTAACGGGGCACCCTGAAGCTTGTACTGGTGACAGTACAAGCTACTTATTCTGATGACAGAATAAGGCGGTGCCTCGAAACTTCACGTACACTGGTACGTGCAGAGGAAGATGGTAAGAAGAAGCGAGTACTTAGTTTAAGTAAAAAGTAGAACTGTATTTATAATAGTTAATGTCTGTTAATAAACCACTATTTATCCTCACCTAACTATGTCTGAATACAAATGTGCATATCAACTATCTGCTCACCACTCATTGCGTGCGTCTGTCGTGGCGCGTCTTCGTTGGTTGATATAACGGCAAATATCAACCAATTAGGAACTACTCGTAAGTGCTGTAGAATATTCGTCCTTATGACAATATTCTGAGAATATAACTCTTATAGTTATATTCTATTAACAATTTCCTATAAATTGTTATGTAACGATTCACCCCGTTACACAGTCACCCTAAGTGATCTGAAGAAACGCGCGGCATAAATCTGGTGTTACCACACCGGAAATACGTCGCCTTTTTGAAGACTCTATTACGATAGGTATACTCTTGCCGTAACCGATGGGGTACGGTATTAGCGTTAAGCGTATGTGATACAATATCTCGCCTTATCAATGATACTGGTCTCTTTCTATGTGTACCACACCAATGCACCTGGTTACTACAACCTTTGTGCGTATCCAACTTACAGAATGCCCAAGACTCTTAGTCAGCGTGACGGACCCAGTTTCGCCATCCCCCCCCTCCACCGTCCTTGTCTTTCGTGCGAATAACCCACGTCGAAGTGCGACAGTAACTCACACAAACTATAAGTCTTTGTTCTTCATCTAAGGGGGAACTGCAGCAGCGGCAGAGCTAGCGTCAACTTCAATTTGAGCAATCTGTTCCTGCGTAATCGTGACCTCAGGTGGACGAAGAGCAGGTGCCTCAACAAAGGTCAAGTTATTGTCACTACAGCAACACAATTTGTCAGTAAAGAGGATACAACGGACAACCGTCAGCAGATACGTACCCAACGAGCTTGCGGGCCAGCCACAGGAACGGTTTCTCAAACTGGTAGTTGGATTTGGCCGAGATGTCAAAGTACTGCAAATTCTTCTTGCGGTGGAACGTGATCTGTTTGGCCTTCACCTTACGGTCCTTGACCTCAACCTTGTTTCCGCACAGCACAATCGGGATGTTCTCGCACACGCGGAACAAGTCACGGTGCCAATTTGGGACGTTCTTGTACGGGATACGCGACGTCACGTCAAACATGATGATCGCACACTGACCCTGAATGTGGTACCAATCACGAAGGCCTCCAAACTTCTCCTGGCCAGCCGTGTCCCAGCAGTTGAAGCGGATGGGGCCAAAGTTCGTGTGGAACGTCAGCGGATGCACTTCCACACCCAGCGTCGCCACGCACTTCTTCTCGAACTCTTTCGTCAAATGGCGCTTCACGAACGTCGTTTTACCAACTCCGCCATCACCTACGAGGATAAGCTTAAACTTCGGCACGTTCTGAGCCTACAATAGAAATTCAGTCCACATGTGTAGGTCAGTATGTATTCACCCGTATCCATTGGCTACACATGCTGCATCAACGATTTGGCCAAGAATACAGATGCACGCGAAGCAGGAACAAGCGCGTGCTGGCTCATTCGATTCGGCACAGGCTGTCAGACACGATCGCAACAAAGTTATCGCCCATCGTCGACCTTAAAAGCTCGGACAGTGATCAGACAACTACTTTGCTTGCTCCCAATTGCATCATCGCATACTAATGGTAAAACTGGGCAACTGTCGCACATTCAGTACAAATTTGCTTGCCCAAATGTATTCCCTGGTATTGACAATCTATGTATCCTCTATTGTCAAGTATTGTGCAATCGGTGTAGCGCTTTCTTTGCCTATACAGCGACAACACCGTAATACGTTGCCAGCGCTGTCTATCGTCGCGTATCTTCGATTGGACACCGATGATGTCGACTAAATCTTATACCTAGCTGGTTTCCTTATCGTGACGTACAAACGCTATACGCTATGACGAAGTCATGTAAATGAGATCGAGCGGGTAGATCGGCTTGCCCGAAGCGATGTGATTAAAATAAGTGACAGGCTCCGATCCGCGAAGTGGTAACGAGGCGACTTGGTCGACGCGACACCAAGCGGCTCCAGCACTTTCGTAGTCAGGAATCGACTTGGGTGATTGGTCGCAGTCCAAAGGCTCAGCGTAGAAGATAAAGCGCATACGCACGTACGGAGTACCACTGCGGTCTTGCTTGGGATGGTACTCGAGCTTAAGCAAACCAGTAAGACGAATATCAATGCCGGCCTCTTCTTTCGTTTCGCGGATTGCCGCCTGTGCCGGATTCTCGCCACTGTCGATCCGTCCACCCGGCAACCAAAAACCCGAGTTGGCAAATTCTTGTACCAACAAAAAGCGGTTGTACTTTTTGTTGTGACACACGACGAGTGCGAACGAGTACAGCATACTATCAGCCATGTGGAATTCACTCGCCATCTCGCGTCGTCCTGGGGGCCCATGTGCATTGTGCATATGCACTTGAAAAGGTCCGCGTATCAATTCCCGACAAATCGGACAAGTGACTCCGTCCGTGTTTTTCTCGTTGATATGGTACATCGGACAGTGTCGCCATAGCTGATCTTCGTCCAGTCCCTTCTTACTGCAAAACGGGCACGTAAACCCATCGCGTCCACCCGATCTACCTCTGCTGCTACGTCTCGTGTGCGAATCAGAGCTGGTGTTGTCCCCACAAGACGCAACAAAGGCTAGGACTTCACGCACAGCATCGAGGGAGTCGGTGACCATCGACGCTCCTTCTTGGAAACACTGATACCGACCCATGGGGTGCTCTGTAAGCTGCGGACTGAAGACACAGAGAAAGATCTGCTTGCTGATGGTGCGAATCAGGCGGAGAAGCGATAATAGACGTCGCTCTGAGAGGCCCGAGGCGCGAAATACAATAGCGTCAAAAGGGATGACGGCTGCGGGTCCGTACGACGACGTGGCGCGCATTGCCAGCGCCTGGGAGGAGACAAAGCGCCGATCGTTGCTGGCGTTGGAGCGCTGCATGAGGTGCTGCCTCACGTCTGCTTCGTCGTTCACAGCCATCTCTGTGACAAAACCCTGCGCGGTGCAGCACTCGACGCACGCATTGTCCAGACTGTCGAGCGGCACGTCGTGGCTCGACACGTTGCGGATCACTAGCGCGCGCTTCATCGTAGCGTTTAGAGCCACCGATTACCGGTGCGAAATACCGGTAAGATATGTGTCGGTCGTGGTGCATACGGGAGCCGGATAATACGGTTGTTCCGGCTGACAGCAGATCCCCTGACAAACTCAAGCAGTGAACAATACCGCATTCGCTCCTTTCCTACACTAGAACGACGATGCACAGGCGCAAAATGGAATGGCTACGAAATGCTGCCTTGTCGTACAATCGCGGACCAGCGCTCTCAACGATTTCAATACTCATTCGATGGCCATCTTGGCCGGAAATACAAATTGACCGGTGGAACTGCTTTGCTTAGAGAACCACCATGTTAAGCACTCAGCCCCACGTGGCCATAGATACGTCCAAAACGCAGACCCAGTGTTGGCTGGTTAAAGTTAGAGGCTTTTAAAGGCAACAAAATCGCACAATAATCTCATACAAATAATTAACCTTACGTATTACTTGACTTCATCTGTGACGCTTAGATCGTGATTTTCTTTACAATTACGACACTGTAGTATAATACAACTTTAAATCCTCCCCACCCAGCTTTTTGATTAATTGTAACCGATAAACATCCGGAAAAACATAGATGCTCCCTTTTTATTAGAATTACTGCTTCTTTACTCTAAAATTGTGGAGCAAGCTCTGGAGCTCACACTTAAGTATAAGGAATTCAATACAAAGGACTGATCAAGTTGCAAAACACTAACAAAGCAGACACTGAAGAATGAGTACGATGCTGTCAACGTATGCATCAAACCAGTACAGTAGCATTGGGCAGCGCGATCGACATTTGTTTAAAAGTGTCCATCATTTGCCTATGCGATCATATTCATCTTTGATTTAATTTAAGCAAATCACAAGCGTGCACCACAATGCACAATTTAACCAGCTAGCTGAACAAACCTTGCAGTGCTGACAGTGCCAGTGTAACGGGAACACCTTATTTAATCAGCTGAATATGCCTTGCACTGCTGATAAACCAGGGTATGTGCGTCCAACTACCTCACGTGAACGCACGTGTAGAAGGAGATTGCTGTACGGAGTAAGAGTACTCAGCAAAGATGAAAATTGGAGCTGTAACGGGGAACCCTTTGTTTGGGTGCCACGAAAATTCACATACACTAGTACGTGCAGAGGAAGCTAATCTACTTAAACGACTCGTTGAAGTACAGGTAAAAAGAGAACTGTATGTAATATAGTTAAGCTATCAATGCAACTCAAATCTTTATCTAACTATATTAAACTACGTCGTCCAATGACGACAACCTGCTTACCACTCATTGCGCGCGTCTAGCAGCGATCGGTGGTAATCTATGGTTATTATGTCTTTATCAACTAACCTTTGAGCAGCGCATGAATATTATCCTAAGGGATAATATTGGCAGGATACTGTCATGCTAGACAATATTCCTATTGACACCGTTTGGTGTCAATATCATATACCGGGCTACCCGTTACAAGAACTGTATTTAGTACGGATAATCCTTTTAATTAATATCTGTTTAAACTTCATGTAACTATTTCTACACACAAAAATGTATTGTTACTATCTGCACACCACTCATTTCGTGCTTCTGTTGTGGCTAGACTTTAAAATTGACATCTTGGTTGTAACGGGGTGAATCGTTACATAACAATTTATAAGAAATTGTTAATAGAATATAACTATAAGAGTTATATTCTCAGAATATTGTCATAAGGACGAATATTCTACAGCACTTACGAGTAGTTCCTAATTGATTGATATGGGCCATTATACCAACCAACGAAGACGCGCCACGACAGACGCACGCAATGAGTGGTGAGCAGATATCTGATTTACACATTTGTATTTAGACATAGTTAGGTGAAGATAAATTGTGATTTATTGCAGACATTAACTATGCTAAATACAGTTCTACTTTTTACTTTAACCAAGTACTCGCTTCTTCTTACCGTCTTCCTCTGCACGTACGAGTGTACGTGAAGTTACGAGGCACCGCCTTATTCTGTCATCAGAATAAGTAGCTTGTACTGTCACCAGTACAAGCTTCAGGGTGCCCCGTTACACCTGGTAGCACTTCGTAGTCCGTCCAAGGACCGCGTTCAAATCTAACATGAATATGTTGGATAATGAAGATGACCAAAGCTTTCACGCTACGCGTGACGGCTACTCCCATTTGAGCGATGTCGAATGGGATGCGGTTGAACGGATGGGTTCAACCATGGGCATCCATGCTGTTAGCGTCATGCTAGAGGCTCTCAATAAAGATGCCCAACATGCTACTATCGCCATGTTCATTCAAAATGAACTTGACGCAGAACGAGAGAAAGTAGCCTTGCTTCACCAACAAGGTTCTCAACAAGCAGAGTTGTTGAGAGAACAGGGTGCTCAACAGTTTGAACTGTTGAGACAGCAGCAGGCTGCTGCTGGTGGGTCGATGCACTCGCGTCGACCCGAGACCTTGAAGATTGACATCTCCAAGTATAGGGGAGTCGAAGAAGACTCCCTCTTGAGATGGTTCGTCGAATTAAATGACGCCATAAGGGCGCGTGGCATCGACGACGGGGATATGCAAGTTGCATTTGCCCAGTCAAATCTGGCAGGACGTGCAAAGACTTGGGCACTGGGGCTCAAGTTGCACGACCCATATGCGTTTGGGTCGTTGGAAGTCTTCAAGTCGCGGCTCAGACAAACGTTTGAACCGTCTAGAGCTGAGTTCAGAGCTCGAACCGAACTCTTGAAGCTCAAACAGGGTAAGCGTGATGTGTACGCTTACGCGCAACATATACGACATCTCACGAGTTGTATAAGTTCCAACCCGGTGGATGAACACACGCTGGTTTCGGTGTTCATGCAGGGTCTTGCGGATAATCCCGTCAAGACTCACCTGTTCCGGCTTGAAATAGATTTACTAGAACAAGCCATTTCCATTGCGGAACAGGAAGACTTCAGTCTGAGACAGGCTCGTGCCAACTCGACATCATATCGTCAACCGAGACGATATGACAGCGGAGGTCCAGAGCCGATGGAACTCTGTTATGTAGAGAGCGAGAGGGCTAGCTCTACAGACTACAAGAAGTTGCAGAGATGCAACAGATGTCAAAAGACAGGACACTACGCTTACGAGTGTAGTGCCCCTCGTCCAGTGTCTCGCAACACTGGGCGTAGTGACCGTCCACCCATGAGAAAGGGGCAGGGACGAGGGTCCGCTGTTGGTGCAGAGACGCAACAACGGGATGGACCGTCAAAAAACGGACAGGATCAGTAGGTGCGGAGCACCCTACTGGTCTAGCAACGTCGAGAGAATTTGTGGGCCTCTTGATGAAGGTTGCTCCCAACACACAAACATTGTGAGTTGCTGCTCTAGGTAATGAGGTCTCACTCATTACCTTGAAACTCGAAGTGACGAATAAGTTGTCCCTTCGAGCTCTAGTCGATTGTGGGGCGTCCAACAATTTTGTGCGACGACAGTCGCTAGAAGATGGTCACTTTAAATTCAGCGAATGTGACACACCTCCTACGAGGATGACGGCACGTCTTGCGACAGGCGCATCCGTAACCGTCATGAAGCGTATAGTGAAGATCCACTATACGCTAGAAGATACCCAATATGACGATGACTTTGTCGTATTGGATTTGGATGACAAATACGATGTCATCCTTGGAATACCGTGGCTCAGAAGGTACAACCACGGGTAAACTTGCAACATCGAACAGTAACGATGCCTGCCGCTTATTCCATAGATGGCCATCTGATGAACGTTTTGGAGCGTCCACAAGCGTGTGGATGTACTACGAGTGAGTGCGATGGCCTCACTTGTGGTACGGTCGTTAGTACGACTGCACAAAACCTTAGTGTACCAAACGGTTACACTTCGGAGCAAAGTTACGGCGGCTGTGAGGAAACACAGGCTGCGCCGAAGGTCCACCACTCGAATAATTCGGGTGGACTGGGACAAAGATGTATCCCTAGCGGGGAACATCTAGAAGAGAAACAATCGATCGCTCAGGTTAAGCGAAACGATAATCCTAGATCGACTGGAGAGTCTTTCGTAGAGGATCTCGCTGTGGTTGCGCAACGCCAGCTAGAGGAAGTAAAGGGAATAAGTCCCAAGATTACAAATACGGCGGAAATAAGTTCCCCGAAACCCGCGGGAATAAGTCCCCGGGAAGCCGAAGGAATAAGTCCTTCGAGGCCTGAGGGAATAAGTCCCCAGGAAATGACAGAGACATTGAATGTCATAGTCAATGATGGATCAAGTGTAGGCGCTTGTACACTTGATCTGATTGCGCCTCCGAAGTTGACTTCGGAGATCACTCAGTTGCCAACGCTTGAACATAAAAGGTTCTTGCGTGATCTGCGTAGTGGCAAAGTCAAGCAGATCTGCGTACTCGTCGCTGACGACGAGTGTGTAGCCGACATAAGGTCAGCAACAGTGTTCACTGAGAACGAGAGAGTTCTCAGTAGTTCATCTATGGACGAGAGTGTCCTAGATGAAAAAACACGAATTGAGCGATATGACTCCCAATCGTGGGAATCGCTCAAGACAAATCCTCTCTATGAAGATTTGGTTGAATTTCAAGGATGTATTCCCTGAAACTGTTCCGTGCGAATTACCTAAGGATAAAGGTATTCGACACGAGGTCGAGCTTAAACAAGGCTCGAAGTACTGTGTCATGAAGCAGTGGCCACTGCCTCGTGAACAAGTACTTGCGATCGACAAGTTCTTTGCCGATCGTTTAGCTGCGGGCCATGTGAGGGAATCAACTTCCCCACATAGCTCTCCGACCTTCTGTGTGCGAAAAGCTACAGGAGGGTGGCGGATAGTGCATTCATTTAACAAGTTGAACGCTGCAACGGTACCGGCTCAGACGCCGATACCGAGGAAGGACGTAATCATTGATGGTATGTCAAAGAGTACCATCTTTTCGTCCATGGATTTGATGGATGGCTTCTATCAAATCCTTATGCAGGAACGGGATATACCCTATACCGCAGTTAGCACGCCTAGCAGC